AAAAAAAAACTGTTTTCTTTCCACAATTCCGTAAGCAGTCTTCACCAACCATCTCAGATTTTGAATACAAACATCAGAATATTAAAGAATTATGCGAAATTACTCACTTTATTCGTATATTTATAGTAAATTCTGTGCCTTCGATATTAGCACAATATATGAATAACAAAAATGCACGTTAACAGATGGTCTCAAAATATGTTTACTTCGTCCTATTTTGAAACTATGAATTATCCATAATACCCGGTCAACGGCTGCCCCTGGCTGTGATCCGCACTACTTATTTATTCGTTCTTCGACCTTTTGTTGTTTTTATTGGGATGTAACTATCAAAACTACACTGATTAGGAATTCAAAAAATAGCAATCCAGAATTGTGCTACTCTAAAGTGGTAATCTAGCAAGATCCCATATGTGTGCATTTCATCTTATTCATTCGTGGATTACAGAAAATTTTGCTACACCTCAAGAACGTCACTAAATGCGTAATTTGATCAAGTTTAAATATGTAGACTCTTTTGAAGCGTGTAATCGAAACGGAATTGTAACAGATGATCGACTCCTCTTAAGGCAGTTAGCTTGATATCTGAAGACATTCTCGAAAGATGCCAAACTAGGCGTACACTTGCGCTCAGGCTTATCAACCGTTGTACCGATATAGGAGATGGAGAGGAGAATGAGAAGCGTTACTATAAAACGTCACTTCCGAGCCGCCTAAAATCACTGGCTTGCTACGGTCCTCTGTTGAATAACTCTGATAACAATCCAGTCAGTTCTATTCCATAACCAATTTTCTAACTACCTATACTTGTCTATTTTTCGATCACATGTCCGCCATCAGTTGTCTATCGATTTCAGTAGTTTCTTTTTTTTCAGATAACTATTGTATATCTTCTCAGAAAATTTGTTAACACAAAGTGTTGAAATTTAAATAATAGCGAGGCTGTTAATGTGAACTGATTTTTGTACGGTTAGTGATAAAACAGATCGGTTGAAAATACTTTAAATTTCGATAAATCGAGAAGTTACATGGTTGACAGATGAACATAGATTCATTTATGTGTGTAAATGGTGAATGGTCAGAAATAGAAATTTGCGTGGGATGAATTTGAAGGTAAAGAATATTGATCAAAAAATAGTTGACTTGGATATGTGGGTGACTTGTAGGTCATATTGGAACTCATTTATATGAATCTATCGGTTAAAACTGAAAGGTGCAAACGACAGACTTGACAAATATGGTGTATAATTCAGTGAATATAATCACGTAACTATAATATTGATTTTGTAAGGGTACTTTCGAAATATAATACGATGATACTCTAAAACAACAACTTTTTCTGCACAAATTAAAAATTTATGAAAGCAGAACGAAATTCCGAGCAGTCATTCGCTCGCTGAGCGAAGTTTACAAACAGTTTGATTTATGTAGAGGCAAAAAGGTGAATTTATGATGTAACAAACTTTTTGTTTTACCGATTTTATTGATTTCAGTTAATAATGACTCCACCAAAAAATGACAGTGAAACAAATATTATGCGATTATGTAATGAAATCAGTTCGTTATGATTGTGTATTCACGCATCGAATATTGATGACAATAATGATACGACTATTGAAAAATAATACACTCGAATATATGTATAATATGTGGGTGAGTCATAATATACAAATTAAATTGCTCATTGACTGTAGTATCAAAATGAATTTTGTTTCGGTGTGATTATTTCATTTACATTGTATTTAGTTTTTGATTGTTTAATTGTTTCTATTTTGGTGATCTCATATTCAGTTGTTTTCCTTTATGGTATCATCACATAATGTAAGTTATATTTTCCTCTTATTTCAGTTGAATATTGATCAAGTTGTTTCGTTTCAATACCATAGAAACAATGCCGCTTTCACGAATATATCACAAAAACGAAAATGATTGTTGACAAATTCATATCTGTTTACTGTATTTCCTTAATTGAGGGCTAGAGGGAATGTGAACTGCCCAGACAGAACCTAGTTATGAGGGACCGAGGAAAATTCGCAAAATGTTCAGTGCGGAAAAAAGAGGTGCTGAATACGCAAAAAATAAACGGCGCAAATGAGACAAGCAGACAGTTGGGCAGTACTTACAATGAGTAACCAATTATTATGGATTTATGCAAAGCCAAGAATTATGGACTCGTGTAAACATTCAGTGATGTTATTAATATTTAACCGATATAATCCGCCATCCCCAGTGGCAAATGCGGTTATTACGATGACAGGCTGTAGCCTACCTACCCATCCCTGACCGCTACCTCTTGCCTGTTGCACCACAGGCTGATACATGGACAATGGTTGCCTCAGTTTTTCCGATCTCACATGTCATAATTAATTCAAACTTGGGTAATCACAGTTGATTTTACTCAAATTTGAATTACTCATGAAGGGAGTCATCCCAATTAAATATTAATAATATTATCGAGTGGTTTGCACAAAATAAACCTAAAAGTTCAGTGCCGCGTTTGAGAAGGATACATATCGAGGTTAGAGAAATGGGAAATATGTGAAATTTCCCATCTCTCTAGCCTCGACGGAAAGGGAAGGAAATATGTGCGTTTAAAACATTCAAAAGGGTACTGCAATCATTTAAGGAAATACGGTATGTAATTTTCATTCAAATCGTTCGTATGGATGTAATAAAGCTGTGAAAAGTTATACCAATCGAAATTGTACGTACCTCAAAGAAAGTTAAGGAATTTTCCAAAAAATGTTTTACAATCATCGATGTTGTTTAAATAATTGCAATTCGATGGAAACAATCAACAAGACACAACGTTCATTGTTGTGTCCTGTATAATGATTATATAAACATCAACAAACGATTCTGTTAACGAAATTGCGACNAAAACAAAGCATGAAAAAATAGAACAAAATGAAACAAACGGTAACAGCAATTGTTGCTTGACGAATGAGATAATTTAATCGGCATTATATATGCCCACATGATGCGATAAAATGTGATAAGATATGAGGTGAAGGAAAACGATCGATCAAAATAGAACAAAAAACGGGCAAAAGTCAGATGATCAAATTTTTGATGAAGATGACGATTCGACCAAAGACGGCGATTGACCTGCAGCAGGTAATTCATCGGGTAATTGTTTATGACTCGTTTCGGGAAATACCAAAAATGCGATCAACCATTGTACTGATAATAAACAAACGCATAAAACCATGGAAAACACCGGGTATACACCGAAGACGATTCGCATCTGAATTATTTGGGTGTGTAAATTGCGAATATTTTCTGAATAACGCAGTATGTTTGATTAATGAACGATGTTATAGTACTATGAATCGACAGTTGGAATAAGGACCTAGAAACGGACCATTAGTCATTATTTTGAGCTTGGGCTTCCCTCTGAGTGCGTGCTTCGCTTGAAATTTATATCGATTTACCTTTGGTTTCGAACTTCTCATTTACCATTCGAATCATTTCATTCAATTTTTATTAAGCGAAACATCGGATTATTTGGCTGAAGATGATATAACTCCGATATCATTTTTCATTATACAAAATTAATATGTATTTTTTCATATCGTTTCATAAATTAATGTAAACATTTTCCTTGGTTCCGGGTGAATACTAGTGAATATACTCAGTTCCTCTTAGGGATGGCATCAAATAGCTCAACCTTGGTGTCGTCACTTTTTTTTTCAGTTTCAATTTGAAACCAACAAACTAGTTTGATCTGTTTCAATGTTCTTTAAAATAAATATTTAAACCCATATTTTGTGTAAAT